ATTAATTTATTTATGAACATATATATTTTTACACCCCTCACCATCCCTCTCCATAGGGGGAGTTTGGTAAAGAGAGATGAAAAAACCAATTTGTACCTTCCTTAAAAGTTGTTCTAGCTCGCTATTCTAATATCTATATGCAATCTTCACACTGCCGTACTCTAACGGAACTATCAACTCTTTGCTTTCATCTACTCCATCTATCGTATACAAATTACCACTACAGTCTGTTATTTGAAATTAGCATCTTCAACAGTTTATTTATTAATTTATTCATTAATTTCTATATGTTTTATTTATTCATGTATATATATTAATAATTTTTTAGTTTTTTTTTTTCAATTTTTTTTATTTTTTTATTTTTATATAAATATTATTTTAAGTATCTATAAATATTTTTTTTATTTGCTTATTTTTAATTAATCAATTTATAACTTGTTTTTTTATTATTTATTAATCAATTCTTTCATTAATTTATAAATAAATTAGTTTATTCGTATATTTATTAATTAATTTATAAATTTTTGGTAGTTTTTTTTATTAATTTTTTTATTCTTTTATTGATTTATTTATATTTTATTTATTGATTGATAAAATAATGAATTTAATTTTCTTTTTTTGTATGTATCTATTTATTTATTTATTTATTTATTTTATTTATTTTATTTATTTATTTATTTATTTATTTATTTATTTATTTATTTATTTATCTATGCATTAATTAATTTTTTTATTTATGTTTTTATTTATTTATTTATTTGTTTATTTATTAATTTATTTATTCAAAACTTTATTTATGTTTTTATTTAATAATGTATTTTTATTTAAAATAAATAAATTTATTTCTTTTTACGATTTTTTTTTTTATTATTTTATGTATTTCTTTTTTTTAATTATTTATTATTTTAAATATCTATACATTATTTTTTTATTTACTTATTTTTTGATATTTTTTTATTCATATATTTACTAATTTGTTACTTGTTTTTTATTAAATAATCAAATATATCATTAATTTATAAATAAATTAGTTTAATCGTTATTTATTAATTAATTCATAAATTTATAAATGTATTCCTATTAAAATATTTTTTAATTTGTTTATTTATTTTTAATTAATATTTATATTTTTATTCTTTTATTATTTGATTAATTCATTAATATATTATATTCTTTTATTTATTCTTTCAGTTATTTATTTTCAAATTGATAAATTTATTAATTGTTCAAAAAAAAATTAAATTATTTATATGTTTATGTTTATTTTTAATGATTAATTTGTTCATATATTGATTTGTTTATTGATGCATTAAGTTAAATATTTATTTTCTTTTGTGTATTTATTTTTTAATTATTTTAATTGCAATTTTTTTTTATATTTTTTTGTCATTTGTTTTTATTTTTTTTATTAACATGTATATTTATTTATTTATAACTTTATTATTTAATTAACTCTCTCATTATTAATTTGATTTAATTTTTTTATTGATTCATTAATTTATTCATTAATTAATTAATTTAATTATTATTGCTTTAATTTTTTGTTAAATTAATTAATAAATTTATTTTTTTTCAATTATGTTATTAATTAATCATTTAGTTATTCTTCAGTGTTCAGAAAAACTCAAAAACTCAAATCTCATGCATGAGTTTATGCGGCTATGAGTTTTGCCTTGCAAAATTCAACGTCGCAAAAATCACCGATGAGTTTTCAGGTTCAAAAATTCATTGCTTTATATTTTCGCGTTATTCATTGTTATTACTATTGTTTGTGCATCAGGAGTTGGAAAACTTACACAACATGCATAGGCATGACGTTTGAGTGGTTTTTATGAGTTTAAAGCTGGAATGATTTTTCGGCGTTGTGAGTGTGAGTGCGTGAATATGCATGATAATCTCAAGCGTGAATTTTGTTTGCCGAATTCTCAAGTGAGTTTATTCTCGCAGGGAGGCTCAATGAATGAGATTTGAGAATGATTTTCCGAACACTGATTCTTATACATAAATTTATTATTTTTTTATTTACACATCAACCTTTTATTTTTTATAATTTATTAATCAATAAATTTTTTTTTTGATTTCTTTTTTAAGTTGTTTTTTATTTATTTATTTATTCATTTATGTATTTGTTTATTTATTTAATTTATTTATTTATTTATCAATGTATTTATGGATGTATTTATATTTGTATTAATTTATTTATGTATTTATTTATTTATTTATTTTATTTATTTAAGAAGTAATTCCACTTAATTTATTTTGGTATCCATGACAGATGCGAATTTCGATTGCAATGTGCAGTCTTCATCAGTGTCATTCCCACTAAAGAATTTATCAAAATCTAACCCCCTTAAGTACTCAACTCCTACGATCACAGGTTTAAAAATGAAACTACAATGTGTTGAACCGAAACCTACCTAGCTAATAAAAACCAATCTTTGGGATTTTCCTTATTATTTATTTATTTTTTATTTATTTATTTATTTATTCATTCATTCAGTTAGTCATTGATAAATTAATAAGTTATTTAATTTATTTATTTACTTATTAATTAATTAATTTATTTATAATTTTATTATTTTTTAAAACTTTTTATTGATTTATATATTCATACATCTATCTATTTATGGATTTATTAATTTTATTATTTAATTTATTTTTTATTAATTTTTGTTTTATGTTAATTTATTATTATTATATTCTTAAATTTAATTATTTTTGTTATAATAATTTATTTCATAAAAAATTAATTAAAAAACTATTTGATTCATTAATTTTTTAATTATCAATTTATTTATTGGTTCAGTTAATATATATTTGTATATTTAATTTTGTATATTTAATTTTGGTATATATTAATTAATAAATAAATTTATTATTTAGCTTATTTATTAATTTCTGTACTAAGCTTTTTATTTATTTATTTATTTAAATATTTTGAATTGAAATTGGGTAGTTTTTGGCGATGAGGGTTTGAGAGTTAAATTGATTTTAGGTCTTACTTTAATACCCACTTTATGAAATTTAGTGTTTATATGCGCCAAAAAAAAACAATTGCAAATATTTTTTATTGAAACGATGCTGATTGCAAACTAAAGCTGGGAGGTTAGAAGGTGATGGCTCTAGTGAAGATCCATTTCAGAATTGCTGGAGATCAGATGGCTAAGGCTACTGTAAATACACTTCCAGATCTTGAAACTTAATCTGGGACGCATTTAGTATTAGTATAAGCATTTGCAAATCAATATAATTAGAACGCGCTCACCAAACTCGGGTTTCTCCATGTTTCTTCTTCTTATTCTTCTTATTCTTCTACACATATAAAGCTTATGTGTCATCTCAACTTAGTGTTCTAGATACACTTCATCAGTTATTAATTGAGAACTTTCGATGCCTTTACCATTTTTGCATTAGTATAATGTATGGCAAATACAATCATACTCTATGCCCAGGGAAGACGAGATATTTTCCAACCCAAAAAATACCTAGACCAGACCGTAAATCGAACCCAGCCACCGGTTCCATCGAATCTAGCATGGTCTTGCTTTGTAGCTGCGCATTTACCAACTGAGCTAAATAAGGGAGGCACTTGTTTTTTTTTTATTAGAGACTTTCAGCCTTGGGCTGGTTCGTCTCTGGAGACAGGGAGGCACTTGTTTAATCATTTGTAATAATTAAAAAAAAAAACTATTTTTAGGGCCAACTACCGAAAGCATTAATAAACATTATCATTATGTGTTCAAACCAGTGATGAGATGTGTAATTATTATATATCCTGCAAAACTTTCGTGATTATTGTCTAGGAGGTAGAACACCTGCAGCTGAGCACCTAAACACGAGAAAAGAAAAATCGATCGAATCACAAACCGGTTAACGTGACACTACAGCAACACAGCTATGCGGACCAAATTCTTGCCCGAGAGTTTTCACAATCGTTTACAATGTCAATTATCTGATGATTCAATTACAATAGTTAAAATGAATTTTATTTCGGTTTGGTAGAAGCTGAAAGCACACGGAAAGCACTAATTTTGTGACATCGAAAATAAAACCGATCGTTCACGGGCAGAGCCTACTATTGAAAGTGAAAAAAATCTGGCATAAATGGAGCATCTTGCAGGCCTTGACAAGTATTTCTGTTATAGTTTGGACCCCAAGGAGTGTATAACAAACATGAAATCTCGATAACTGTTTCAAATGGACGTATCAGCTTTTGTAAACAATGCATTTGATCGTTGATTGGGCATAACTGGTAGCTCGCACACGCTTATTAACCCCTATCTGATGGTAGTGTTAGCATGCGTGGGCAAGCTACCTGTTACGCCAAATCGACGATCAAATGCATTATTTACAAAAGCTGATACGTCCCTTTGAAAAAGTTATCGAGAAATGGTTAATAGATTTCATTGCATTAGAAATATTTCTTCAGCAACGATTATGACAAATCGAATTCTTTCAGAAATTCCATCCCTAAATCTTGCTAGCATGTTTTACAAATTATTGATTTGAGACTATATGATGGATCTTCTGAATGCACCTGGAATCTGTACGAGACGTGAATCAATTTTACTCTACCTACAATTGATGGTTTGACAAAGCATCATCTACATTCCTTTGCTTCCTTGCATTCCAAACTTGCTATTCAGCCCTGATGTGTCTCCGGTAAATTCGAGATGATTCTGAGATATCACCATTTCCTTCGAGCTGTGTCTGAAGGAAGATAACTCACATTACCAGATGAAGCGATTACGAAGTAACATTCCATCTTAATTGCCCGCATACCAATCAGGAAAACAGCAGCATTCGTGGTCTGTCGTTCGAATACTTATCTTCGCCTAAGGAAGATATTTAATGCCACTCTTGTTTACTCCAACTCGAGTGGTTGTATGGGGAGGTGTGTTGTGTCTTGCATTCGAGTGCATTTCTCCAAGGCTTCATTCTTCACTTTGGTTCATTTATTCGATTGATTAATTTCCCCTCTCATTATGCTTTCCATTCAGTTCCAGATGAGACGGTACAAGTGTTGAGGAGCGAAAAGGTGGAACTGACATGCCCGATCGACATCGAAACCTGCGGCGAGCTGCACTCGCTCAAATGGTTCAAGGGCACCGATCGCATCGCGGTCGTCTCCGGTGACGGCGAGGTGGCCAAGGTCGAGGGCAGCTACAACGATCGGCTCTACCTGGCCCACGAGAACCAGAGGAGTCGACTCATCTTTAAGAACGTGGAAATCTCTGATGAAGATACATATCTGTGTGAAACCACATTTTTAGAGCCCTCCGAGGCATGTGAAAACTCGGGAGCATATAGTATAGCACTCAATGTTTACGGTAAGTGCCTAGCTATGTATCGTTACAATCGTACCAATCTACCGCACAGTCCACACAGACTATGAAATCAAGCCATCATGTCCGCTTTGATTGCTCTTGTTATACTAATGAATGTGTGTTTTTTCCCCTCATGCAGCCATTCCTTCTGTAATAGCACTTCAGGATGGCAGTAGGAATAGTATTAAGAACGGTTCTCACGTTGGACCAATGCGGGAGGGTCAGGATCTGCAAGTCGTTTGCGAAGTATACGGCGGCCGTCCAGTACCTGTGATAAGTTGGCATCGGTCGGGAAGTGTTGTTAGAGGTAATCCCCTTCACTTTGTATATCTGCATATACACACATTCGAAAAACCATCTGCACAGAACACGATAAAATGTTTGTTTTCCGCTTGTCCCCAAACACAGATTCACAGATTGTGGAGGATCATAATGGGCTGTTCACAGTAAAGTCAACATTATCGCTTACACTGTCGCGCCAGGAACTGGGGGCGACCTACATCTGTCGCGTCGAGATGAAAGAGTTGCAGCTGGTTGTTGATAATCATTTTCATATCGATTTACACGGTAAGCGAGAAAATTGCTCGCGGGTGCATACCTCTGTTTGTACACAACATTAACCCCACTCATGTTTCCTCTGCAGTGAGACCTACGAAGATCCATTTATCGGGTGTCAAACATCACACGGTGGAAGGTAACGAAGTTTTACTACAGTGCCAGGTAAGCGGAAACCATTCAGCCGAAAAATGTCCTCCCCCGCCCATGGCTTTTTTGCATCCGACACCTCGCCGTGGAGACTTTACTCGCCCATTTTATCCTTTAATGATTGCGTGCCGTAGGGCAAGTAAATTGAATAAATTTGAATAATTAAATTTACTTTTACACCTTTCCTCAATTCTGCGTGTGTTTGTATGTACTCAACATCATCAACTTGACGCTTCCTGTTTCCGCCGCTGTCGTCTTCATGGTCGCTCGTACGGTAGGTGAGCGGCGCTAGGCCGGCGGCCAACATGACGTGGTACAACTCGACCAAGCTGATACCGGCCGAAACGAACGAAATCACCTCCGTCACCACACAAACGGTAAGTGAACGAAAATAATATGCAAGCAAAGAAAGGGAACTCCCAAAAATGGTAGTGATAATGACAGACGAACGTAACCTCTTTTTCACACTTTTCGGCACGAGGGTATTATCGCAATAAATGACTTTAACAGGTACTTAAAGTTGGGCTTTTATTGTTGCGTTGTGGTGAGGTTGTACATTCGATGGGATTTTATTGCCCTCCGGGTTGGATTGGGAGAGAATATTATCCTTTATTAGGATTCGCGTTATTGTTATAACTCCCGGTTTATGGTTGTGATAGTGATTCACTTTTAGAGACGTTACAAAGCAACCACCAGACTGGTGGAATGAGGAACATGTTTTGAATTTTCGACATTCGTAACGGTTTGTTGCTTATCTGGTTTGCATCATCCATTGATGTTGGAGTATAATGTGGTAGGATTGTTAAAAAAATTCCAACCTGTCCATGTTTTGCATGAATAGCTAGAGCTTATTGAAAAAACAAAAGATAATGAGGTTCGAAATACAAGACTAGACATCGAATTGTTCCATTGTTGGGTGGAGGGTGTTTATTAGTGATCGATCAGTAGGCCGTATTTCATTAACAATAAAATAATTAACAACAATTTAAAAAAAAAAAAACTTAACAATGTTTGGAAAGAATTTCAAAACATTATTTGCTTGCCAATACTCGAATGAATCGATCATATACCAACCCTCTACTGCCCAAATTATGGTTTTGGTTCTTGCGGTAGTTACACATACTGTCATTCGAAAGGCATTAAAATAAATATTAAAAATTATACAGATTATTTTGAGCTGGATCAAGTTAGCATATCTAGAAGAAATTTTAAATTAAACAATTTTTTTCAATATACTTACGACAAATTGCATTTTTTTTTCTACAATCAACCTTCGCTAACTTAAACAAGAATTCAAAAGCAAATTAAAGCCAAATCCGCTTAATTTAAACAAGATTACGATGGATTTTTTTTAAAATGATTAGCATTTTTCCAACATTGCAGAATGTCACAAAACACATTTTTTAACATAACATTTTAGTATGATGTAGTAGCCAAATGCATCCCAATGAATGCAAATAATAAATAATTAGTACCGTGTGGGACCGACCTCCGTACACCTAAGCACGAGAGAATCATAAACGGTCAATACTAAATAATACTATCACATTATGCTCTGTATCATATCTTTTTCCTATACATTTATCTTTATTTTCCCATTATTTGCAAATACCAGGTCTTAAAGTTACCTTTAATTATTAGAAAAAAAAAAGTATTTAAATTCCACATATCTTGAATCAAAATCCATACAGCGTTCTGCGATTGAATCAAAATCCGTAAAATTTTGAATCGAAATCCGTACACTGTGTTGAAGATGAATCAAAATCCGTACATGAATGTGAATCGATCCAAATCAATGAAAAAAAGAACATGTTGCTATCTTTAATAAATTATTTTTTTTAGAAGTTGCTTGGCTAGGAGTCCAAAACAGCTATACTCGTTTAAATACACTATTTACAGCATATTTGAACTTTGTACGCTGATGGTCATTTCCAATGTAAAATCGTGCGCTGATTCCAAAAATGTAGTCCAAAAAAAACTCAGAAGGATAGTTTTGGAGATAAAGCTAAAAAATGAAATCTCACTTTACAAAAAAAAAAACGTGTTTACTAAAACACAATTTCGATCGTTACAACACTATTTTTCCGAGAGAGTAATGGTAGAACCACTATAAACATTTTTATTTCCATTGCTTTAAAACTTAGCAGAAACTCAATTTTTCTTAGGAAAACTTAAAAAACAAACTATTGACTAACAACAATACCACTAATCTTACTGACAATTGATGTTCAATTGATAGAACGAAAAATTTCTTACCTCTAATTTAGCGTTAAAATAATTGATATAATCTCATTACAACCGGAGGTATTTGTATATGTAAACAAATTTTTTTAAAGTGAATTTAATTTTTTTTAGCTGTATCTTGAAAACTATCGTACTGAGATTTTTGTTTGACTACATTGCTGGATTCAGCGCACGATTTTACATAAGAACCATTCGTCAAAGGTTCAAGTTCATTGTTTTACTTTTATTTTTTTAACTAGTGATATCAGCGTTAGAGTAATTGATGCTCCAATCGATTCAAAGGAAAAGTAACTGATTTCTTTTTATTTAAGAAGGTGACTGTTCTGGATTTTTATGCTAACTGATATCATGTTTAAGGATTAATTTCTTCCTTATTTTATTCTATATCAGTGCTTTGGGTTAAATATTCTTACTGGAGTTAACCTCCGATCACAACTTTGAGGTCTTTGAAATTTGACATGTGATAACGTGCAAGATGTGCCATACTTTGGAACTCGGGTGCACAGCAAAAAAATAATTTTAATATTACATCCAAGAGGATGCACTTCGATCATGTCGAAAATCTCATGTAATTTTTATGGATAAGTGAAAAAAAAAATACAACCATCTTAGAAACCAACAAAAAAGACAATGAACTGACAACAAGGATTATTTATTTTTTAAATAAAATTGGTAAGTTTACGACTATAACTTAATTTAATTTCAAACGTCAAGAGCAGAGGTGGCAACAGTACATTTTTTGCAAAACCATCCTCCAGAGCAAAACAAAACAGCCTGCATACGGGCGGTCGTATATTTCTACATTACAAACAAACGACGGAGATAGAGAATAGGAAAAATGTCGTAGCCCATTATTTTCCAAACAGTTTATTGAAATTACATTATAGCTGCAAGCTTGCGTGTGACAGTAATTTATGAACTCCCTTATTTACGCATAATTGTAACATCTAAGCTTATGAGTGGTTTGTATTCGTTCTTATTTTATAATTCCATGCAATAAACATCAAATAAATGCTATAATTAGCCAGAAATCAGCAAAATTCTACATGACATAAATTTAAGTCTCACGCGCCGCGTTCGATGTTCTATCGCCTGCAGAAAACAGTTTAGAAATGTCATGACATTTTTTCCGCTTGCCAGTTTGTGTTTGTGCGTCTCCTCTATGGTCATCGCGCAAAGTATCAAATGTGAAGGAAAAAACGTTAAACTCCAGTACTCGTGCCACCACTGGTCAAGAGAGTAATAATCATAAAAATGCAGATCTTTCGTTGCTTCTTTTCCGTAGCTTTCTTCTGGTTCTTCTCCATTGTTGCCATTGCTTTTTCAAGTTATAATGCTTTCTTGCTTCCAAATATCTCTCTCGCTCAACCTTTTTCTTTTATCGTTCTTCAATCCTTTGTTTATTTGCGTTCTCTTAATCAATTTTCTCCCGCTGGTTTCATGTACATTTCCGGCCATTCATCACTGGTGGCTACTGCTGGGAATGCTCTCTTGCCCATTTCTGTCTGCTCTCTCCAATTTATATATGCGTGTTGGTGATATCCTGTAGAGGAGCTGCGTTGTTTTCCTTTTCGGCTGGTTCTTGACGCTCTTCATTAAAAGATATTAATAATATAACATTTTCAATACGAATAAAATAAGAGAGTAGCGATTCAATGCGGCATCTCTTATGGTGGTAAATGGAACGGCAAAAGATTTCCCCACACGCATCATTGCCACAGTCTTCTCCAAATCCCCTGGCGTGTATTTAGCTTCCATGATCTGCTGAAAAATATTGGATAAAGTAAAATCGTCATTGTTAATGCACAAGTGTACGGATTTAGAATCAGCTGTTATATATGGATCGAAATCCGTACAGTGCTAATTTTGATAAATAAATACCATATGAATGATCCTACAGTTTTAAGATGTAATGTATAGGGGCTTCCCTTAGCTCAGTCGGTAAAGGCGCAGCTACAAAGCAAGACCATGATGGAGGTGGCTGGGTTCGATTCCCGGTCCGGTCTAGGAATTTTTCGGGTTGGAAAATTTCTCGACTTCCCTGGGCATAGAAGTATGATTGGACTTGCCACACAATTATACCAATGCAAAAATGGTACAGGCATCGAAAGCTCTCAATTAATAACTGTGGAAGTGCATCTAGAACACTAAGTTGAGAGCACGCAATAAGCTAATATGCGATATGCAATAAGCTTGAAATGCGAAGAAGAAGAAGAAGAAGATATGAATGATCCATTGCTAAGAATTGAGATATAAAACAATAAACACTTACTACTTGCAAAAATCACTTAAATACGCTTAACAACTGGAAGTAAATTTTTCTTAGAAAATCGTTGAGAACGCAACCGATTGACAGAAATGACCGACCCGTGACAAGGTTTTTATTTTTCTTATTTTAATTGCATGACATACTGCCTAATTGTTGATATAAACATCAAACTAATGCATGAATGAACAGGAATATGCATTCATGTGTAATATTTACATTGTTATGATGCATATAAATAAACAAATTCAACAGGGTGTACGGATTTCGGTCCCGCACGGTATATCTTTTCGACCATTATTACAAAATTTGTTTTTTTTTATTATTATTAATTTATTTGATAAGGCTCAACCGAATTAACTTTACAGAGCCGAGGATTCTGGTTCACTATACTTCTTCTTCTTCTTCTTCTTCTTCTTCTTTGCATTTCAAGCTTATTGCATATCGCATATTAGCTTATTGCGTGCTCTCAACTTAGTGTTCTAGATGCACTTCCACAGTTATTAATTGAGAGCTTTCGTTGCCTGTATCATTTTTGCATTGATATGATTGTGTGGCAAGTCCAATCATAATTCTATGCCCAGGGAAGTCGAGAAATTTTCCAACCCGAAAAATTCCTAGACCGGACCGGGAATCGAACCCAGCCGCCTCCATCATGGTCTTGCTTTGTAGCTGCGCCTTTACCGACTGAGCTAAGGGAAGCCCCTATACATTACATCTTAAAACTGTAGTCAAAAGGTACACCACAATAAACATTTTATCTTTCGCTATCCAATAAGCCTCCTCTACTAGAACGGGAGCCGCTTCCAGTGGTATGGCAGATTCGCCAACAAGGGTCATAGTGCTTCCATTGTAGTAATGGACGCAAAACATGGTCATCACTCATAACCTCATCACGAAACGGTTGCTTTCCAAAGTCGACGACGCATCGACTGAAAGAACTACTAGAGTAAACAGACGATCGCGTGACACACATTGAGAGTGGTCTGCTTCTGTCGACAGCCGAGTGAACACTGATACAACATTTGTTGAAAAATTTGATTATTTTTGCTGCAGCTCTTAACCCCGCAAAAAGACGATCAAAGGCGGTTAAGGGTTAAATCTTCAAGATTCATTTGATATCAATTCAAAGGATCTTGATGTATTGTGATGAATATTTAGATCTTTTCAATTTCCATTCTATTTAGATCAACATTTTCTTTGTAATTTATTTATAAACATTCCAGGAGTTCCTAAAACTTTTATTTTTTTTATTTAAGAGGTTTTCAGCCTAAAAGCTGGTTTGCCTCTGAAGCATCAGAATTCATATAGTCTTTGGATCATATATAGCATTCACTTCATATTTTCCCCGTAATGCTCTAGGAATTCTCTGCAGACCATTCTAACATTCTCTCTGAAAAACCTTTGCAATTCACATATCACTTGGAATATTCCTTTGATTGTTGATGGTCCTTGGGATTTGTTTTCAAAATTATCTTCGTGTATCTTAATTTAATAAATCTTAAAAATCCTAAAAACTTCCTTAATATTTGAAAACACTTAGTGAGTTAAACCTTGATTCTGGTTTATTTCTCGAACTTTTTAGATATAGTAGAGAAGAGGTGGGCTATTGTTTAAAGCTATATAATCGGTAGTATCTTTTAAGAAGCTTTTCAAAGAAATTTTCCTTAGAAACTTCTAAGAAGAAGCTAGCGAGCATTACATTTTTATTGATATTGCCCGTCGCCCTCAATCTTTAAAACAAGTACAGAGAAGTAAACCTGTTAAGCAATTCACCCGGAAGCAGGGTTCGATTAATTTAGCCTTTTTAAAAGCATTAAGGTTCATTTGAAAATTTCCCAAAACATGGCTGCCCATCGAGTATAGAATTAGCAAAATATCGAGATATGGTAGATTAAGAAGCCTATTAGGTGTCAGTGTATGATGTATATAGATAAATAGGATGTTGGCTTAGTGAAGGAAAACAAAATTCCAGATTTTCCAGTTATTTTCCCGAAAAAAAACCCCTGATATAGAAAACCATCCACATAATGTTTAAATACGCATGCCAATTAGCGATTTTTGGATTTTTCTTCCTGGATTTTTGTTGGTATTCCCGGTCTAGCGATTTACATTTGAATTAAGTATTAAGCCAAATACGTTTGAGCCATTTATTTACTTGATAGAGACAAAGCAAGTGCTCTGTGGCATAATTTTTTTCAGCGATCAAAGTCTTCAAAAGTTGTCTTTGTTTTAGACACCTGAATTTCTAAATAACCATTTGGGCTTTATCATACAGGGTGGAACGGTCAAAAATCGGTCAATCATGATAAAGTGCACACTTATTATGTTATTATAGAAATGATCAAATTTTATTTCTTTTTGAAGTTCAATGATTACAAAATACAGCAAATTTTTTTGATTATGCTTTCGATTTTCTAAATACGAACTGTCGGACTTTACGTTTCACACCTTACATCAGATTTTCTACCGCTGTTGTATCAACCTTATCGGATGATGAACGTCAATTTGCTTTGAACTGAACGTCCATAATCTTTAAATTTATCTGAGTAGCCGAATTTAGAAAAATATCCAATTTTGTGATCTTAAAATCAGGATTAAGATTGAAATCCTAATTTACATTTCTAAGAGTTTAGAGAATTTTGATATTTTTTAAACTGCATAATCATCCTTTTAATTTGTCGAACCTCTTAACGGAATCCCTTTATGAAGAGCTTTGAGTGGGTTGGTTACCGTGTTGAGTACTTGGCACTGATGAAGTCTGCAAGTAGTAGACGAAATACGCGTATCTGTCAAAAGATAAGCAATTATAACGGAATTTAAGGGAAATAAACCAACCCACTCAAAGCTCTTCATGATCATCATAAAAATAATTATATTTTTAAAAATCTCAACGTTACATGTTCCAACAGATACTAAGTTCAATCTTTTACGTCTATAAATTCGGCCTGATGACCCAAACGGCCAATGACCTACACCTTGAATATCATGCGCCTGGTTTCCAGTGTGCAGCATATGACAAAACAAATCATTGCGATGATGGTGACCATTGCATGAACCGTGGTCTTTTCAATAACAAGTTTATTAGCTAAGCTAATAGCTAACAAGCTAAGTAAATTTGAATAAAATGAATTTGAATACCAACTTTTAGCGTTATGCTAGTCATGTGTATTAATGCTTATGAAAGATGATTGAAATTCTGAAACAGAGCACAGTTCTTACCTTCATTTACCACCTCATGGTTCCGGATGCCATGCGCCAACTAGCAACATTGCAATCCACCACGGACCAAATGTATCGATGGGAAATGAAAGTATGATCCAATGTCAATTAATCATCGCTGATGGCTCTAACGAACTAGGTTCCAACATGCACAGACATTTTTCACAAACGACAGGACTTTTTCGTCAATATTCTCGACATTGATCTTGTTTGGTTGGCGAATCCATTCGGTGAGCGGAATTCCACACCACGACTTCCCCTAAATTTAGAATTGATTTGACTTTGATTGATACCAAGCCGTCGCTCTATTCCCAAGCATCGTTCGTCGGTTGAAGATGAGAGGAATGGTTTGTCCGTTTTTGGGACGATCCCAAACCTGCCAAACGATGTGTGATTTTGCCCTAGAAATAAGCTAACCGCAATTCTTCTTCCTTTCTATTTCTCGGTATTCCCGGCAGAACTTACAAAACGACGGCACATTCGAGACCATCAGTAAGTTGATTTTCACTGCAACCCGTTTCGAAAACGGTGCATCGGTGCGCTGCGAGGCGGACAACATTGTGATGCGTGACGACGGCGATCGGCCACTGCATGACACCCTCCCGCTCGAGGTCATGTGTGAGTATCCAGTTCCAATATAGTGACACTTCTCACTGACTCTTGAATCATTAGACTGGTTCTTCTCGATCTTGTCTGTCACTGCTAATAATACGTTTTGAACCAGTCTACTGAGCACACATCCTATCTCATATAGTCCCATCATTCACTCTCACCGCATAAAACCCACCCTACGGTGCCAGCCAATAGCCAGGCGGTAGGTATTAAATCGCCCCACGCGATGACATGATTTATACCCGCGGTGGATTATGTCCTTCCCTTCCATGTCCCGATACTACTAACCCAAATACTGCGTGTGCATTTGTTTTACTCATCCTTTCTCACATAAACACACTGTATCCGTATCTGTCTCATTTGTCTTTCGCGCTAAACTGGGCATTAAACCTCGATACATTCGTTGTGTTCGGTTGCCATTTGCTGGTTGTTTATTGGCCCGGGAGCAGATCCGCCAGTGGTTCGAGTGGGTGCAGAAAATATCACAGTCAACGAAACGCGGGATTTCCTTCTCAAGTGCGACTATGAGGCAAATCCGGCCTCGCTTGAAAGTGTCAAGTGGTTCCGAAATGATCAGGAGATCAAACTCGACAGCACCCGGCACGACGGGGGCAACCCGGAGAATATTGGCCTCATCATCAAGCATGCGACCCGGCACGACATCGGAGCCTACAAGTGCGAGCTGGCCAACTCCATCGGGAAGGATCTGTCCGACAACGAAATCAATGTTGATGTTTTGTGTATGTATAACTTCTTTGTTTCAGTTTCATATTAGGGGCAAATTATGGTGTGTGTTCATAATATGGTGTCAAATTGTTTCAGCGAAAAGTAGCCGGAATTCGTACAAACTGTCATTTGGTTGAATATTGCGTATCTTACTCCATTGATGTGCCATATGAGACATATTTTCATTATGACACCACGATAGATTATAGAAAAATGACCATGTCGTTTTCTGGACGCAATGCTGTGGTATAAAATTGACCCCTTTAACGGGGTCGAAACAGTATCCAACAGCTGAATTGGCTTTTAGTATGCGGCGTAACGAACAGCAAAGCTGTTAAAATGTAGCATTTTATTTTCGTGGAAGCCTTTGGCTTCTTTCACTGCTTTCCATCTTCGATTAGGGAATTGGAATCACAGAAAGCTTTAAATTCACTTCAATGTTCATTAGAAAAAATCAAAAAAAAAAAAAACAGTTCGAAGTGAAAAGTCGTATCAAGCGTCAACATTGTTCAGTGTTGCCAGTACGTATACAGCCATTCCATAGCAAAACGATATAATGGTTCTCAGAATTTCGTAACAATTGGCAGTTTTGTTCCTTATCGAAAAATATTAGTCCCTTATTTTTTTATTTTCTCATTAGGGTGACCATTTTCCTGTTAGGGTGGTCCAAAAAATCGATTTTTTTTCTTTTTAACGTTTGAACCATTGAACCGATTTGAATGATCAAAATATCAAATGAAAGGTTATTAAAAATACTTTTCAGAAAAAATATTTTTTTTTGAAAATTGGTGTTGTGTATAGAAGAGCTTTGATTGTATTTGTTTTTTATGGTTTTCATGGTTTGTAGACAATGGGCGTAACACGTTTTTATATATATATTTTTTTTATTTAGGCTTTTCTACACAACATATAAAAAATCAGCGATGTATTTGTCTTCGTTTTTGAGCTACGATTTTTTGAAATTATCATGTTTAGAAATTTCGCTAATTACTCCAATACGACTAGATTACCCTGCGTCTCCATTGATATATATCGTATGTAACATGGTTACATTACTTACTTATTTCAATTTCTGATCCTAGACTACCATGACATTCATAGAAACTTGAATCAAATTTATTGATTGCTTTTGCGTTATGTGTAAATAATAATTACTACAGTGATTCATAGCAAAGGAATTCAAAAAGAATATATTTATATTAAATTTGGGTAGTACATCTTTCACGGACTGTTTGGAACTCCATATCTAGTCCATATTTGGACTAGAATCAATGCTTTGATAAGACAATCTTATGGTTTCCAACTATGCACATGGCTGGTTTAGTGGAGGTGAACCAGCCCAAGGCTGAAAGCCTCCCTATTAGTCCCTAATAAAGATAAATAATAATAATACATGGCTGGTTTGAAATAAAATTCATTAATTTTTTTTTTTTTTTTTGTAGACATAAAACATGCTTAAAGATACTTTCAAAGTGTCACAGAATGTTTTTCTTCTGAGAACGAGAATCGTTTCACAATAATATAATTTTCATTTTCTGGCCTAAAACTATAATATGACTGTGTTCCGGAAATTTGTTTGACACGATTATAACGAGTTTTAAGTTTGCTTTCCATCGCTTTATGATCTGCGTCTGAAAAAAAGCCATAGTGCATTTTTGAATCGATTTTAGAAATTGCCCATGTATAAAGCTCTTTAGCAGTTGTAATGAAATGCCCCTGCAAACTTGCTTTAGCAGCATTTCGTTTCAAAAACTCCTACCAAAGCATCACATGGACCTTTACCGTGGCTTGTGGCGAAAAAGTTCCACTCCGTATCTTTACCAAAATTCTTTTTCAAATGGCACAAATTAAAAACTGTCATCTTATTTTTGTACTGACTGCCTGACCCATCTGAGAAAAAGTGAATTTCTTAAGGCTGGGTATCTTACTCTTGATGAAATTTATACATTTAACTACGAATAATCGAACTGAAACATGGTTGTGCTTGGTAAACTCCGCGATTGCATTGAAACTAGTAAACATTAAATCTTTGGTGGATGGATGTATAGTGCACTGTGCGTTTCCCCAATGAAATCCTTGTACAGCGTCTTGTACAACAAATGAAAAGTTTTCAGAAAAATCACATTTCAAATGTGATGATCACAAATCACAATCACATTATTATACATTCCGTTACTTTCAAGTTACTTTTGACATATTTCAAGTATTTACCTTCTTGTTCAGCTATGAAATTATGTGGGGATAAATCGGATAACTTTTCCAAAAACATGTCACATGAAACTCTTGAGTTTCCAACTCCACTAAAACCATGATACAACGGTCAGCTTGAAGCCATTGTTTAAATTTTAAGGATTCCACATTTTCATCGGTCAGGATAGTAACCATTTATGAAGTCAAATTTTGTATACCTGGGCAATGTTCACATATTTTTAACCAACACTGTTCTGTGGGGTTGGTGCAAAGAATTAAAAAAAAAAAAGAGTCATGGTATGATTTCACATCAGTTGGAAGTGACTTTCTATCTTGAAGAGTTTTAAAAAATAATTTAACATTTTGGTGGTAAACACACCCACACACAAACAGTATGTGTGCCACTCGTTCTTGCCAGAATACAATGCTTAGGGCAGTTACTTGCAAACATTGAAAACCCTATTTTAGTTGCGGGATATTGATCCTTGAAAATGGCATAAACTTCTTGCAATTTACACAATACTAATCTTCGTTGTATATAAACCTTACCATCAACATTTTATGGTATAGAAATCACGCACGAGTGATAAAGTTTCTTCTGCTAATGACGACCTGCTCAGATTTCTTCCTGGTGTCGTCATTATCCCCTTGTCCTCCCGTAGTGTTTTGGTCCGATCCGCCATATATTGAGAAACACCGAATTCCTTCGTTATTTTATATGCTGACCAGCTTCTAGGTAAAGTCGTGAGAATGCGATACTTCTCATTATTATCATGAGTTTCTAGAAACTTTTCCTTGAGTTGCTGAATGATTTCATCTTCGTTTGTAGTAGGCACACTATCAGTACTTCTGATCGATTGTAAACTGGGTGCTTCTAGTGACTGAAAGTGAAGTTAAAAAAACATATTTGACATTACTGTAAACACTACACTACATTCGAACCTGACGTTACAAAGTTTTCAGAATGCTATAATGTGACGTCATGCTCGTTTGACTCATGGCTACCAATATAAATACATTTTTAAAAACAATATTCACCTTGGCTGTTGACAGCAGGAGCTCCGGATGGTTCAGCGATGGGCTCTTCGGGTGCGGGTTTATACAGTTTGTGTACAATTTCTGCATATGAAGGAACTGCTATCTAATTTCAGTTTTTTCTTCACCGCATGAACTTGAATAGCTTGGGTAAGATTCCTCTTTATAGCATTTGAAACCCACAAACAACAACAAGAGCACTTAAAATTCATCGTTTATAAAACACTGGCTGCACAGAATATATTTTGATTAACAGAGCTTTTGTTTCCCTACTGATTATTTCACTTCTAAGTTCATCCTTAACCCTCCATTACTCGCGCCAACTTTTGTAACACGAGTACTCGCGCGTTGTACTTTGTACAACAGTGTGAGTTTTTCATTGCCATTTTGCAGCCGAGCTACCAATCGATATGAAACCAACGGGTATTCCTTAAAAAACTTGTTTTTAACTAAACAAGTTAAACTTTTATGACAGTTAACCCCCAAAAAATGGGGAGAATAGAGAAAATGTGAATGGAAACCGCGTAAACGATGTACGTTCTATGTGGGATTTGACTTAATTGGTTACAACATGGAAAATCTCGAGATCCTGACCAGCTAGAATGTTACTGTCTTGGGTAAAGCTGTTCTAGAGATCATAACCTTTTTGCTGGTGAAGAGTAGTCCATAATTTTCTCACTACGCAGCGCTAGAATACATGTGAAATTATCGCATGTGATATATCTCGAGATCATGACCAGATAGAAAGTTACTGTCGTCGACAAAGTTTTCGATTAGATCAAAGCCTATTTCTTGGTGCATAATAGTTCAAAATTTTCTCAATACGCGGCGTTAGTATGCACGTGAAATTCTCATATTAAATATCTCGAGATCCTTACCAGATAGCAAGTTACTGGCTTGGGCAAAATTGTTCAGAAGGTCAAGGCCTTTTCGTTGGTGGAGTAGTTCAGAAAATTATTACTACGTGGCGCTAGTATATACGTGCAATTTTCGCATATACAATAGCTCAAAATCCTGAGCAGATAGAAAGTTACTGTTGTCGACAAAGTTTTTGGTGAGATCAAAGCCTATTTCTTGGTGCATAATAGTTCAAAATTTAGTAGTTCTAGTATACACATGAATTTCTCATACAAAATATCTCGAAATCCTGACCAGATAGAAAGTTACTGTCTTAGACAAAGCTGTTCAGGAGATCATAGCCTTTTTGCTGAATACTTGGTGCTAGTATATACACATACAATTCTCGCATATACAATAGCTCGAGATCCTGAGCAGATAAATAGTTACTGTTTTCGGCAAACTTGTTCAAGGGGTCAAGACTTTTTGGCTGGTGGACAGTAGCCCAGAATTTTCTCACCACGTGGCGCTAGTAAACATGTACAATTCTCCTATATGCTAAGGTCGAGATTCTGAACAGGTCGAAAATTACTGTCTTAGAAAAAAGTTGTTCATGAGGTCATTGCCCATTGCTTGGTGTACAATAGTTCAGAATTTTCACACTGCCTGGCGTTTGTGTACACGCGAAATTCTCACATGTAAAATATCTCGAGATTCTGATCAGATAGATTTCGCTAGTGGACACTAGTTCAAAATTTTCTCACTACGTAGCGCTAGAATACACGTGAAATTCTTGCATGTGACTTGTTTCGAGATCCTGACCAGATAGAAAGTTACTGTCTTGGACAAATTTGTTCAGGAGGTCAAAGCCTTTTTGGCTGGTAACCAGTAGTGAAGAATTTTCTCACCACGTGGCGTTAGTATACATGTACACTGCTCGCATTTAATATATCTCGAGATCCTGATCAGATATAAAGTTACTGTCTACGACAATGTTGTTCAGGAGGTCAAGGTATTTTGGCTGGTGAACAGTTATTCAGAATTTTCTCACTTCAGGGTGCTAGTATACATGTGAAATTCTCGCATATAAAATAGCATATGCGAGAAGTGTACATTTATACTAACGCCACGTGGTGATAAAATTCTTAACTACTGTTTACCATCCAAAAAGTCTTGACCCCCTAAACAACTTTGCCGAAGACAGTAACTTTCTAGCTGATCAAGATCTCGAACTATTGAATATGCGAGAAAGGCACGTGTATACTAGCACCGCATAGTGAGAAAATTATGAACTATTGTCACCCAACAAAAAGATCTTAACTTCCTGAAAAACTTTGCCGAATACATTTACTTTCTATCTGGTCATGATCTAGAGATATTTTATATGCAAGAGTTTCACATGCATAGTAGCGCCGCAAATTGAGAAAACTTTGAGCTACTGTCCATCTGCGAAAAAGCCTTGACCTCCTGAACAACTATGCCCAAGACAGTACATTTCTATCTGGTTGGGAACTCGAGATATTTTATATGATAATTTCACGTGTATACTAACGTCGCGTAGTGAGAAAACTCTGAACTATTGAGCACCAAGCAATAGGCTTTGACCTCCTGAAAAACTTTGTTAAAGACAGTACCTTTCTATCTGGTCAGGATCTCGAAACAAGCCACATGCGAGAATTTCACGTGTATACTAACGCTACGTAGTGAGAAAATTCTGAACTACTGTCCGCCAGCGACAAGGCTATGATCTCCTGAACATTTTTTTTAGAGACAGTCACTTTCTATCTGGTCAGGATCTCGATATATTCCATGTTGTAATTAATTAAGTCAAATCCCACGTAGAATGGATACAGTATACGCGGTTTCCATTTACATTTTCCCTACTATCCGCATTTTTAGGTGTTTACTGTAATCAAAGGTTAGCTTGTTTAGATCAAAACAAGTTTTTTGAGAAATACTCGTTGGTTTCAGATCGATTGGTAACTCAGCAACAAAATGGCAATTGAAAACTCATGTGTGTTGTACAAAGTACAACAGCGCGAGTAACGGAGGGTAAAATATACCACCATGCATTGTACCTACGAACGAACACCTTACCTACCAAGTTTTCCGTATGATTTTAGCATGTGCTCTGTCTAGGTAGCTATTTACTTGGTGAAGTATTCACTTTGAATAAACAAGACTATAAAAGCAGAAGCAGAAAATTGATTTGGATTATGTGACTATGTCAGCTATGTACCAATGGACACTCAGGGTAATCTAGTCGTATTGGAGTAATTAGCGAAATTTCTAAACATGATAATTTCAAAAAATCGTGTAACTCAAAAACGAAGACAAATACATCGCTGATTTTTTGATATGTTGTGTATAAAAGCCTAAATTAAAAAAAAATAACGTGTTACGCCCATTGTCTACAAACCATGAAAACCATAAAAAACAAATACAATCAAAGTTCTTCTATACAAAACTCCAATTTTTAAATATTTATATATATATTTTTTACGTTTCATTTGATATTTTGATCATTCAAATCGGTTCAATAGTTCAAAAGTTATGATTTTTTTTAAATGCCATTTTTGGAAAAAATAGAAAAAATCGATTTTTTTGACCACCCTAACAGGAAAATGGTCACCCGAATGAGAAAATAATAAAAATACGGGTCTAATATTTTTCGATAAGAAACAAAATTGCCAATTGATACGGAATTCTGAGAACCATTATATCGTTTTGCTATGGAATGGCTATATAAGAATATGTATTGGAGGTCAAGCAAAGATATGACTGATATGCTATTATGAACAGTATAGGAACCGAAAACTTTTTTCTATCAGTAGCTTTCACAATTGCATATCCTGCAAACGACAATTTCTACATACCTGCACAAATGGCACCAATTTTTAGAACCTAAAGCCATTAGAAATCCACAGCAGAACATTTGAAGAAATTGGCTTCGATTTGAATTGAACAACTAAGCGGCGCCGGTGGTGTAGCGGTAAGCGTGACAACCTATCACCCCAGCAGGCCTGGGTTCAATCCCAATCGGCGCCGCCGGGATGTTCTGAGGCATAGCATCTCTGGTCACGCCTTCCTTCGGAAGGGAAGTAAAGCCGTTGGTCCCCGGTTCATGAGTTGGCGTGGGAACTGTGCCTCCCTTGCGTCGGTAGCATTGGTGTTCAGCACGAAAAACTAGATCGACGGAAAACAAATCAAGGAAAAAAACAATTAATCAATTACCTACCATATCAAATTCAAAACACACACAAACAACAAACAATAACAAACCAATCCCTTCGCAGATAAACCAACGGTGGTGCTGAACATGGACCCGGAAACACCGGTGATCGAAAACGACCAAGCCAACATCACACTGCTGTGCAACATAATGGACGGCAATCCGCTGCTGCTGACCAGGGTGCGTTGGTTTTTGGACGGTGAGTTCCTGAAAGAGCTGCCCGAGTGCAACAATGACGAAGATGGGAGCAGTTTGGGTGACGAGAATCTGTGCGAGGTGGACCCGACCAAGATGTTGCTGCAGAATGTGGGTCGGGAATTCATTGGAAACTATTCCTGCCAAGGTTTCAATGATGGTGGATGGGGCGACATCAGTGAAGAGAATTCGCTGGATATCTACTACGAGCCGGGAAATGCAACAATAACACATTTCCCGTATATTGGCATCAAGAGGAGAAGCGTCACTTTCAACTGCTCGGTGGAAGACCGTGGAAACCCGGTAGCCACCAGATTTCGATGGCTGAGAGGTGACAAACCAGCCAAGGACGTGGTAACTCCTTCGTGGACAGTGGATCCGGTGGGGTTGGATTCGAGAACGACGTTTACGTGTTTTGCTTACAATGAAGGCGGCGAAGGAAACGCCGCAGTGGTGCATTTAGAAGTGCATGCTCCACCGGCGTTTGTGCAAAAGCTGCATCCATACACCGGAGCATTGTATTCGACCTCGAACATTTCTCTGGCCTGCCGGGTGGAATGTGTCCCGTCGTGTACGATTTCCTGGTTCAAGGATGGAGTAGGAATTGAGGATTCGGATGAGAGGTACTACATTACTAGCAGCTATCTACCTGCGGAGCCGGCTACGGGAGATTTCGAGAGTGCTTACTCGGTGCTGGTGAGGATGAGATTGCTTTCTTTCTTTCTATTTCGGTTGTTGATTGTTCTTGTAAATCATTGGTTGTCTAATTTTAGCATTTCAACATGTCTACCTGGCCGGACGGCATACTAGATCGCATTCGTGATAGCTCAAACTATTCGTGCGTCTCATCTAATAACACAGCAGGCCCTGGAGTTCGCAGCACGACGTATTTCGGCGTAGAATGTAATTAATCACCACTTGCTTTGATGAATGGTCTAGCGAAGGAAGAGGGGAGTTCTGTTTTCACATCTACTCTCATTGCAGATCCTCCGGAGAACACATCGCTATCGAGTCCGGTCATCTCGGTGGAGGAGGGCAAAATTCCCCCGCGGATTGTGTGCTCTTCCCGAGCCTATCCGGAACCGGAATTCAGCTGGTGGCGCAACGCGGCCAATATTGTGAATGGGAGCTCGCTGATCGTAAACACCGTGATGGAGAGGAACGACGCTGGCGTTTACACGTGTGTTGCATCCAACAAGCATGGCAACCACTCGACCGATGCCGTCATCGATATACACTGTACGTAGTTTTTGTGAGTGTGTGCTTTTGTGTGGTGTAGGGGGGGTTATGGAAGAGCAGAGGTACATATTCTGACTTTGGTTGGTTGCTGCGGGATGGCGTCGGTGGTTTTCGGGATAGTTGATTAGTTTGCTTTGAGGTTGGCAAATTTGTGCACCACTGTGAGGTAATCCTCCAGTTGGGTGGGATTTATATTTTATCTGCTTCGGTAACATTTGTGGCAGTAACGATTTTTCCATCACACTATTCGGTCAAGTTAATCTTTCAATTTGTTACAAACAAATCCCGAAATCACATATTGATATTACCTGTCGAAGCGATATCCATTTCAAATTGAATTAAAAAAACATATGAGAGCAACGGAAGGAAACAATAAATAATAATAATAATAACATTTTATGTACACCGAACTAATGTACCATTACCAAGAACACGCGTAATAAAAATAATACAACAGCAGCCTGCGCTTTTCTCAGTGGAGATATAATAAAGCCATGAGTTGCCAAGCACCTGATCCATCGCAACAAGTCACGCACTGCATTTCACCCCCGGAGCCTACTGGGGTGAGAGGCTAGACCGGTTCACCGATACTTTTGGGTAATTTCAAGCAAATTTCATCCGGTATTTTCAGTGTTACAGTCTTAAAATCAAAATGTGATAGCCTTAAACAACATAATCACAACAAACTGTGTGGGAGTGATTAAAGAAGCTGAATAGTGTCCAAAGGCGATTCGAATACTGCACATACCGGATCTAGTTTTAGATACTATTGAGTTCCCAAATCGAGTAAAAACCGACAATGTGGATGATGGTGTTTTGATTTACCGTGATTTGATGATTTTATATTCTTGATGAATGGAATTAGTGTTTTAATAATGTCTAGTGATCTTACTATTAACTAGTCTAGTCTAGTCTAGTCTACACATACACAGCCAGTACTTGAAAGAATCCTGGAAAATGATACATCTATCATTTTTCTTGTCATTATTAATGCCTGCTGCACATCAAGGATGTGAAACAAACAATAAAGCGGCCAGGCCTACTGTGTAGCGTTAAGTTAATTTTTGTGGAAGTGAATGTTTACCATGTCTACTTAATAAGTATAGACAGTGGTTAACATTTAATCCACAGGTAATCAAAGAGCGGGGACATACCGTACCAACCGCTCCGTATGCAGGATTTGAAAATAGGCTATATAAATCGTTGGGAGTGACAGAGCTAAGAAAGTTAATGTACACTCCTTGATTGTCCGATATCCTGGGATGGAACACAGGTATTTACCCCTTGTGTTCGAGCGTACAGTCCTCCCTCCGTACAAGCGTGGACGGCACCGCCAACCCACTGCCATCCCTCAATCGATCCAGCCGACCTCAGTCGAAGGACAACAGAGAGCGGTGTGCGGACGTAACCTATACGGAGGGAATGCTGTATTCGCCTAGGTTATAGCGCCCTTGCTCGCTACCATTTTCTTCTAGCGGTTGGGACCTGAGCACTAACTCTTGTCCTAGCCCTATATGGCATATGGTTATAGCGCCATTACTCGCTTTCTGAAAAGAGAAGAAGGGAAGGGAAGGAGAGGAAAAGGACTTGGGAAAAGGAAATGCGGAATTCCTTTCCTCATTAGTATTTGTATCGTCAACTTTTATGAAAACTATATAAATCATTCTTCCTTGGTCAGAGGTATTATTACGACATTTGAATAAGATTGTCTTATCATTTCCCTAATAAAAATAACCATAAAAGAGAGCTTAACGACGTGTTCGGGGTATCATCCAAACCCTATGTGGGATGGTTTATCTATCCGAGATACAGTTCGTTTATGGTATTTGTTTATTAGGGTTGTTATTCAAAATTTAATGTTATAATGATCAACATAGCTTTGGATTATCCAATATAAATCGGTAACACTGTCCTGCAACCGATGTAGGAAGCACCAAAGAATATATATAGACAAATCTCAAAAACACAGTTTTAACTGATAGTACTTTATAAACATCAAACTGTCCAATATTGGATCCTGCCAATTATAAGCACCAGAATAAATTGCAACGGACTCACCAAATTGATCCATGAACGATGTCCTGTTACAGTGATCTCCATACTCAAGGGTTGGTTGACTGGGCTCGAAAATAGGTTTTCCTATTCTTAGTATCGGACAAGCGAACCAAAAATCCTGTATGGCCAATCAGTTGATTAGTCAGATGATGAAAGCACAATTGTGGCTGAATGGATTCAGGCTGCTAATCGGAGAATCTGACCCACTTGTAAGGAACACAAAGAGCCACAAAGAACAACCAATGGTACTAGGTTCCGAGATGATCAGTGGTTTAAGAACTCTGGGGTGGCAAATAGTTGAAGGAACACTCCTAGTGATCTTACTATTAACTTCACCAAAACAATAAATGATTTTTTTGTGTTTTGCCATCAAGTGTTATGGTAGGACATACACTTTGCTATGGTGACTAAGCAATTTGCAACGCCAGATTCGTTAGTAGATTGTTTATTGAAACGCTTTGGACGTCCCTGTAATAAGATTTGTAATTTGTTTGGAAATCTTTCAAATGGCTCCTATCGCCATGTGCCACTCTAGCTTGTGCACCCATAGCTGTTACTTTCTTGGTATTAATAAATTTAGTGGACTGGAACTTTACTGGTTATATGAGAAACTTGTGCAAATATTTCAATGTAAACTTCACTGCCTAAAAGTAGTTCCTTTTTTTTGGCAATTATAAATGTTCCGTTCTCCGTTTTACTATTAGAATCAATGTTGGTGACATTACCATACATTTCCACAGTATGACAACTACTACGAAATCCATCATGCTCAACCAACCCAATTCGATCGGCTCACAAGTCTAACCCTGAGTAATTTTCCGTTTGCTCTTTCGAATGCGCTGGCAAACGAAGCAAACGAAGGCAATGCATAATTCACAAAAGATCCACTTCTGCCGCCTTCCTTAGCCACTACAGCTATTGTTGATTGTTGCTTCCAGATAAGCCCACGTGCACCATAGCCCGCAAGGAGGTCAACGACGAGGACATTCTCATTTGCACCGCGATCGGAAGCCCCAAGGAATCGGAATTCGAGTGGAGTCTCAAGTACGAGAACGATACGCTACAGAACCATAAGACGCGCGGCGATGCCTACGAGAGCGTTCTGGTGCTGGACAACGACGTCTCGGCGATGCGAACGTACGTCTGCGTGGCCACCAACAGCGTCGGAATGGGGAAGCCGTGTGAAATTGAGGTGGCAGGTGAGTACGAGGAGTTTGATTAATTTCCTTTTGATTGTTTTGAACCTAACACTCGTTCCGATTCCCGTAGGATACGTGGCCTGGTGGCTTAAAGGAGACATCCTGACGCCGTACATACTGATTGCAGCCGTCGCTGCGTTGCTGCTCGCCGTGATACTGATTTGTGTTATCATTATCTGCATTTGCCGTCGCAAGAGAAGGCAGGACAAATGTAAGTAGACACGGCTTTAACAATACCTACACCAGCAGCACACTCTTTCGCCAGACACAGACACACACACACACTGTCTCTCTCTCTCCGTCTCTTTAGTCTATAGAATCATCACTCCTCCGATCTATAAGAGATTGTTGTAGAATCAAGCGACAGGTAGTATAATTAGAGAGTTGATTATTTACATCGTTTTCTCTAGTTGTTATCTCTAGACGTGTAACACTAATACAGTTGCGTTTAAACGCTGAAAGCTTTAACTATTAACTGCTAGCTTTCATTGATTTATTTTTTATTGAGTTCATAGTCAGTAGTTGTAATAACAACCCGTTGATAACATTTAATATTCTATTGTGATCGTCTTTTCACTGAGCTTATCAGCTATGTTCACTAATCTTGCCATCGTATCTTCAACTTCAACACTTGCTTCTAATATTATCAACCACTAGCTAAATCACTTTGAATGATAGCGAAATTTTTTGAATTCCTAATATGACAGCATTTGTACCAATCAAGGTATGCTAAGTGCTTTACTATTGAAAAAAGCACCTCTTTTAGCTCCTCCACGTAAAAAAAGGAAATCCCTTCGTAGGTACGTTTCTCGAGAAATTCGTTATCAAAAGTACTAATTGTAGGATACATTCGACTGCACGCTTAACTTCCATTGACCATTCATCACTAGCAGTAGTCCCCCACCACCATAACAAACAAGTACCCATTTTACCGCACTTCTCTCAAACCATTCTCCATTCTCAAAACATCACTCGAATTTTGAACTCATTTTGCTTCTTTTCTCGTTTTTTTTCTTTCCCACTTCCATCCGTTCCAAATCAAATCTATTAAAAACAATGTGTTTTGTGATTGTCCGTTTCGTTTCTGCAACATTTAACCATACGTAAAACTTGAAAATCAAAACTTTTCGATCGATGTTTTCCGTGCGCGTGTGTTCCTGTTCCTGTTTACATAAATTTAAAATAACAAAACGCCATGTAACACAATCAATCACATTGCAATCTACAACCATGCAACAAACAATAACAAACCCGATACCACAGCGTCGATCCAAATTGAGGAGATCGAAGATGCGGAGTTTTCCTTCATGAAGAATCAAAGGTAAGCCGGAGGCTGGTTGTTTTTCGATATAAGGGTGGTAGCTTTTCTACTTGGTTTGATTATTGGATTAACACTAGACTAAGCTAGAATATGTACTAAATTTTATACTCATGATGCATGTAACTTTACAACTTTGGCACAACTTTACCTATGATTTGGTTTGTTTGATTATGTTGCATTTATGTTCATTTACGCAAAATTATTATCAACTGCATCGTTGAAGAACAGCTCGCTGAATGTTGGTCATCGACAGTTTTCTGGATAACGTGGTCCTGAAAATGTTCGCGCTCCTGTAAAGAAACTAAGGGTAGAAAATTGTTCAATCAATTTTTGGAAAAACTTTTACCGTGGATCTTTGCCAATCTGAATGACACTTCATTCATATTAACGGGGTATATTTTTAATTTGAACTTCTTATAACCCAATGAGCACTTAACATATGTAGAACTTCAAACTTCATGGTCTTCAAAAAGTGAAGTCATTTCCTATTCATTCCTGTTATAACTTGTATAATTGCACATCGAAATGTCAAATTAATCAGCTGAAGTAATATTAAATTTATTTACTCGTCAATCAATCAAATTGTAGACTACATATTAACATTAGGACTTATGTTCTATGACTTCGCAGGGTTCTGAAATATATTTTTAATTCTGTTGAGGGCACATTTAGGTCAATCATTTCTCAATGATGATTATAAACAGTCATTATCTGATTTAGCTTAATTGGTCCGATGGCGATCTACTGCGAACAACTGTCGATTGCGTAATTGTCGGGAAGGTGCATACAAATTTAACCTTGACAATAGATCAGCTGAGTCAACGCGTTGCGAAATGATATTGTTTAATAAAGAAATCTTTGCGTAATCCCGACGTTCTTTCAATGTTTGAATGCTGATCAGCAAGCAACGTGCTTCATATGACGGGAGAGGAAAAGCCGTTCAACCTAACTTACGTAGTGCATATAATAAAAATTGCTTTTGGATTGACTCTATTCGTTCTTCATGCTTTTTCATATAGGGTGACCAAACAACGCTACAATATTCTAAAATTGACCTCACATAAGCAACGTAAAGTGATTTTTTGTCTAAGGATCTTTAAAGTGGATACCGAAACGTTTTATAAAATTAAGCATATTGCCTGCTCTATGTATCATTGTGTTATAATGGTCCACAAATGTCAATTTAGAATCTAGAATAACACCTAAATCTCTTACATTTTCACATTTTTGAAGATTTTCATTACCTAATGTAATACAAAGATTTTGTTTGTTTAGTTTTCTACTGTACGTTATAAGATTACATTTTTTGATATTTAGTTTCAATACACCATCTGTAAAAAACATGAAACACATTCATATCGTTATCGCTGCCTATTTCTAAAAATAGCTTCATGTCATCAGCGTATGCAAGTACCCTGATATTTTTTTTTAAATAAGAGAGACGTCATTAATGTACAAAATAAAAAGAAGGGGACCCAGGTGCGAGCCCTGGGGAACCCCTGACGTGACATGAATTGGCTTAGATGTTTTCTCGTTGAATCTTACAATTTGCTGGCGATCAACTAAATACGATTTAATCCAGGTGAGGAGCTTCCTCTCAATTCCCATTTTTTTTCTAATTTAAAAATCAGCATTGGGATATCAATTCTGTCAAACGCTTTGCTGAAGTCTGTATATAGAGCTTCTACTTGGTTACCTCTGTCTATTGTATTTAATACGAAGTCCACAAATTCCAAAAGGTTTGTGGTGGTTGAACGGCCTTTAAAAAAGCCGTGTTGTGCACTAGTTATTCTTTGTTTTATTTGGTCAAAAATGTTTTTATTTATAATTGATTCGAAGAGTTTTGGAATGCACGACATGATAGCAATCCCACGATAATTTCGAATATCGGATTTTTACCTGGTTTATATATGGGTATTAAGTAAGATTTTTTCCATTCCTTCGGGAATATACCGGATTCAAGCGACGTATTAAACAGCCAGAATAAAGGGGTTGTGAGTTCAGTTGCTAAATTTTTCATAAAAATATGTGGGATTCCATCTGGTCCTGAACCTTTAGTGGCGTCCAAATCTCGTAGGCCATTCCAAATATCATGAACCGAAATGTTATTAACGCCAACAGTAGTTAAAAAGTCAGGAAAATAAGAAAAATATTCATAATCACGATCATTATCTGAAAATTTCGTGTATGTTTCTTGAAAAAAAGTGGCGAAAAGATTACATATATCATCAGAATTATTACCTTCCGTTTCATCAAATGTCATTTTTGATGGAAAGCTACACGATTTCATTTTAGTTTTGATGTAATTGAAGAAGTTTCTTGGACATGATTTAATTTCATTCTCTGTTTTTATGTTATACTCAGACAGTGCCAAAGAAATTGCATTATTAAGTTGATTTGGAGGAATAATTGCGTTCCTCGTGAATTACGTCAAACAAAATTTTATAAAAAACCTCCACTGCACACTCAACATTTACCTGATCCTTCAAAATGGTTTTCCAATTTAGTCCATTGAATTTATTTTTAATATTATCGTAATTAGCATTTTTGTAGTCGAACACATTTTCATACTCACAGTCGTTGGGTTGTCGACTGTCATGAACAAATATGGAATACTCGATTGCTGTGTGAAATGTTTCATTCTTCCATAAAGGAGAAAAAGATTCACTTACACAAAAATCTTCATGTATATTCGTTAACAAGAAATCTAGGAAACAATTCTGTTGGTTTCTTACATGGTTTATCCATGTCTAATCCTAAAGACGCCATTTTTTCAAAAATAAATTGTAATGTTTCGTTTTCCCCAATGACTGGGAGAAGAAAACTCTCATTATCTGAATCAGGAATAAAATCAGCATTGCGTTGATTGAAATTTTGAATTCAGGGGGAAATTGAAATACGATTTCTTCAGCTATTTGGAAAAAGTTTTCATACGAGGACTAACAATTCGCTGAACTGAAATTTCACAACAATTTTGATAGTCTGAAAAAGCTGTAACGTAAGTGAATTCCGAATTATACGGATGAACAGGAAAATTGATTGATTGTGCAACGAAAAGAACCCGTCTTATTAATCTTAATGTTAGTACTGCTTAATTTTTTAATTTTTGATATAAAAGTAATCAGTAGTGAATAGAGAATGCACCGTATATATTGGGAAGTTGCGTGTATCAATAGTGTTCAGTGATTTTTTTACCTCTAAAAATCAATTTGTTCCACAAGTACTCTTCTTATACTCTATTGAAACATATCCCTAAGTACACGCTTTTAACGCTCTCTTATAAACTTTATTCAAACGGCCAAATGATTTATCAGATTGAGCACTAGCACTTATTAGAAAATAATACTGACATTCTCAGCAAAACTTAGAGAGAGGCAACTAGGGTATGGATTTGGATCTCCAATTTATGATCCAGTCGCTAATTGGTCGATTCTCAAGTACATGATTGTGTTTATTTTGTATTAAATGTGTGCATAACTTCTCTCTGAACTGTTAGCATTGATTTAACAAGGACAATGTTCAACAGAAACTGCAGGAGCGAGTGAAGAACCTGCGATGAAGATCAAAATGAAGCCGGATGTCCTGTCTTGCCTTAGAGCAAAACTATCACAAGAGCTCTTGTTGACAAAACGTGTGACATCTTGATGGTTTCGAAAAATCATAGCATGCTGAAATCCAAATTGTTTTTCTTTTCGTAAATTATAACACCTGCACTTGGTACGAAGGGTGTTGCAATCAAGGGGTAGGTCACTCAGCACACCAATCTTGGGTCATCTTTTTTGTCAGTGTGCGGTAAGTGTGCTGCAGTAGACTGGCCCACAAAAATTCTACTTTTCTGGCCAACCCCTAGATTTGTGCTTTTAGGGGAGAAAACCATTATTCGAAAGTTTCGGCTCATTTGGTCCTAAGATGAGCTAGCGCTCTTAGTTTGAATTTTGTATGGGGAATTTGGATAAAATACATAACATAATGACACTCCTACACTCTATCGATCCAAAAAAAAAGTTTCCTTATTCCCGATTCAGTTTTTCAAAAATTGTAGTTCAGTTTATGAGTAACACGCCAGCCCGTGTAGTGTCAAAAAGAGCTGAAACATTCAGAGAGTGCAGACACGAGTCTGGATGTTGGCCTGTGGAAAATATGAACTTTTATTTTTAGTGGTAATCTAGTTGATACGTTGCATAAGATCCCTGTATTTTGTTGCAATATACGAGCAGAATGCACATAATTAAATAATATCTCCATAATACTAACTTGAATTGTAATGCTGTCTTCGGCATAGTTGTTCCTTATGGTTTAAGCTACAAATGCTGAAATTTTGAGCTTAATGGCAGAGTTGCGACCTATCACAATCACTATCGCCAAACAGCTGATGGTAGTAACGCTTTGTACATTCCTATCAATGTGCTCGTCGAAGCTCTCTCCATGACCATCCATCGAGTTGACGAAAGAAGTAAAAAGCAACTGATGAATGTCGTCTTCTGTTGTGATCCATCACCGATCTGGTCATTCCCGACAATCACGACACTGATCTGTGCTCGTTTTGAAGCAGTTGCTGCTTTGCTTGCTTATGTGAGTGTGTTGGTGAGTGAACCCAACAGCTTCCGTTTCTTGTTGCCTGCTTTGTTTGAAACTCACACAGTCGTGCCTGCCGAGACGAACTTGGAATGCGTAGGCATTGTTTTCATTTTCTTCTGTCGTTTCGCTTTTTCTCATGATCGTACTGCAGAAGTCTACATTGTTTTTGTTGTGCTTTTCATCATCAGCAGTGAGTGTAACGTTTTGCTTGTGAGCAGCGACCATTACTGGGGATTGTTGTTTGCCATGGCTCTAACTCTCACTGCGTGACAAAACCATCTGTCAGCGATAGTCGGTTGATGCGAAGACGAGTGTCATGATATTTTGCATCACTGATGGAGAATGCTGAACCCATTATATGCACGAAAGAGTGAAGGAATATTATTTCTCCATACATTTCAACCAATATCCTCATACAAATT